ACCGGATTCTCCAGCTCTCGCTGTGTACGACTTCGTACCTGCAGAACTGCACCTGCGCGGACTTCAATCTGCTGCCAATAATCCACACGCGTAGCTTGGTAGTAGATCTCAAAAGGCAACCGGACCTGAGTCTGTGTATGCACCCAGTCGATGACTTCAGACGCATATTCATATTGCTGCGCTCGCATCACCACATGGACCTGGTGCACCTCAATGACTACTTGCACTACCAGAGGCAAGACTGAATTTTCCAGACGCTGCACCACCAAGGTGGCCGGCACGTTCTGGCACAATTCAATCAAGACTGGAAAAGCTCTGGTGAATGCGTGATCAAATTGGCAAGCGTATTCCTCACACCAGTCTGAAATATGATAGTTTGCAGCTTGGTCATCCAGCACCCAACTGGGACAATAGACTCCGCTTGTGACAGTCGCACCTCTTCGTAGAGCTAGCAAATGCACCAAGATCTGTGTATGGCCTGGTGCACCTGCTCTGTCATATTCACAGAGATAATATTGTCTAACCTGTCTCCAAGTTGTGACCCAATCAAAGTCAGTGTTCCTTGTCTCACCACTGAAACCGGAAACTGCAGCTGACCGGCCTCTACTTGTCGAGCTTCTGACCAGATCTGACTCATCCTCTGCAGCTCCTCTTTCGCTCGTAGGACGTTGCATCATCACCACTTCATCATGCAGATCCTGCTCCTCTGACTCAAAAGAGGCACTGGTAGGATCTTCCTCAACTTGCAAGAGTTCATCTACACTATGTAGGGAAGGTGGCAGATCATCTGCATCCCCTTGGTGGAGAACATCCAGGCGCGTGCTTGGCAGAGGTAGGACATCAATACACTGTAGCTGAGTCCATAGGAGAACTTCGTTGGGTCCAGCGGATGTCAAGCTCATCGTGCTCCAACTCATAATGGACACACGTGGTCTGGATCGCCTGGTCATTCTATCAGGTCCAAGCCATGGAGTTGGAGCTGAGCTCAACAAGTCAGGCAGGTCAGCGAACGCCTTGCCACAATATGTCGTACCATGCAGAGCCAGGCGCGTCTGAGCCCATGTGAAGCTTCTCTTCTTTGCGACACTGATCCCGTGGGATCCGCTTTGCCCTTCGCCCAGTTGTTCAGGGGGCGCTTCATTTCCCCAATGGTAATTCTGCCCCTTTCAGGCAAACGCTGGGCCGTTTGCCAACCCTGCTCTTTCCCACTCCCATTTTCAAAAAATATACCAACAAAGCCACGGTGCGGAGTGGACCCGGAATTGGGACCGGGCAGGATCGTGGAGGTGTGAAGCTCGCGGCAGATCACGATCGCAAAGATCTGCCAGCCCAGGGGCCCGGACCCCATGCAAGCAAAAGACCGGGTGGCCATCAAACCAGGTCACATCGCAGGGACGTGGCCTGGACATAGCCTCCTTGACCCTGAAAGGCTGATACATAGAAAGATAGATAGATAGATAGATAGACAGACACACAGACAGATAGACAGACAGACAGACAGATAGATAGATAGATAAATGCAGTAGATAGATAGACCATGCCATAAACCAAAAAGCTTCTGAGCGCACTTCTAGACTCGCACGCCATTTTGCAACATCCTCGCGGTTTTTCGCAGTTGGGCAGCTACCAGTTGAGCTAACCAGCTCTCCGAGCGAAATACGACGGATCACTGGAACCGTTTTCGAGAAACAGCTGGCCATCGCCATCGTCCCGCTCGGTCCGATCGTCTCAGTCGGCTTTGGATCGCTTCCGCCGGGCCTTGAGCTTTTCGGGAATCTTGGACAACTGCTTCCAGCTCATGATGGCAAAGACCGTCAGAATGCAAAGGAGCTTCAATAAGCTGAAGCTGTGACCTAGGCGAAGCTCTAACTCAGCAACCAACTGAAGAACCCCAGAAATCGAAACTCTAAGGTGGAGGCCGAAAAAGATCAAGGAGATGAGTACGGACAAGAGTTGACGCGCAGTCATGATCCAAGTAAAGGATAAAGAGCCAAGAACACGGATGGCAGAATAGATGCAGAACTGGCCAAGAGCTGACACCACACCCAGGGCAATGATGCGTTGTAAGACTTCGGGGTTTTCCGAGGCCAAAGAAATGGAAGCACGGATCTTCGGCCAGCTGTAGTATAGGTTGCTTGAAGTAAAGACCATACCCAGGAAGTTGCCACCCACCATCATCTGCAATTGAGTCAGATTGGGATACTTCGTGTACAAGTTCGTCTGCCACTGTGAGGTAAAGCTATCACCAATAAAGAAGATGCCAAGCATCATGATGCCCATAAACAGCTTCCAGTTCTCGCTCATGGCTTGATCCTCACTGCCTTTTCCTCCATGAGTATCTGCCTGGACCATACGACCATGTCACAGTGACACATGCTTGAGACAGGCCTACACCATGGAATCGCTGAAAAGTTTGTCTTCTGCTGAGACACACTGATGAATGCAAAATACAAATAACACAAACGCATTGCTTGAACGATACGTGTCTGAAAGTACTCAATAAAGACATATGTTTGTTCCCCTAGTCCTGGGCAAATGCCGAATGCAGTGAAAAATCTGCATGTACGAGCGAAAGAAAGAAATTGCATGGCATGGGTCCAGTTAGGCAGTTTAGCAGCTAAGCGCCGCGTGACCCTATGAAAATCAGAGACCACACTTTGGTTTTTTGTTACAGCAATTGTGAACACAACCGGTACTTCTCTGCCTTTCTTCGGTTATCTGCATACAAAATTCAAATTGCAGGCATAGCGAGTCTGGCAGACAAAATAGCGGGTGAACCCTCAACCTAGGTTTTTTTATCTACTGTTGGTACAGCATAAACCCCTTGCTCGTCATGAAATCGGCTACCAATGCCCCAGGTCAACATCAAACTGGCAAGAAAATTACTTCAGCAGTCTCCAGAACCAGATCTGAGCACATCGCCATGTCACGATCATAACGTTTCTAACGAGCAGCGTCATCGGACGACCCACACGTGCAACGCCATGACTTGCTCGTATGCATATCTTGCAACTTAGACGCTCGTTAAATAAGCTCTTTCTTTTCAACCGTAACTCATGTGATGCAAAACCCATACAAAATGTGTATGTATCTGTGTATGTCATGTGTATGTGTGTGTACGTGTATGTGTATGGTATGGCATGGGATGGGATGGCATGGCATGTATGTATGTATTCAACACCAACTTCTTAAATATATACTAGCTTAAGCATCAGTAAAGGCCGTGGAATGGCACCCTCCTCGTCGGAAAAGTGCATGATCGCCACGCAAATCAAGGCAGCTATGGCTTGGCCATATTGAAAGAGTGAATATCTTGTTCCATTCACCTCAGCCAAAGCACAGCAGAAGTTGCAAGTAGCGCTGAGAACGCCCAGGAACAAAAGCGATCACTGCGAATCAAGGTGCAATTCGGCCCATCATCATGTTCGGAAGCATCTTCACCGATTTGGCCATTACCTTCAGCTGCGTCTGTTTCAGACGGGATCAATGAACGATACTTAAACAACCAAAACTGGCCGCCCACCAGTCCCGATGACTCAACGATACCGGCTTCGCGGGCTTCGCCGATGCGGCACAACAGATTCAAAGTCAAGTCACCTGCACGGGAAAAGAGACATACTTTAGCATCTCATAGCCCGCAAAGGTCGAGAGCTCGTTGGTGAAAGCGAAGTAACTGTAGGACCAAATGGGGGCCCCAAGGCGCAAGCTCTTCTGGGTCACCAACAAAGCCAGGCTTCCGCAAATCACAGACCTTATGCGGTGGTGAAGCTTCACAAACTTTAACTACTGAGTAGCTGAGTAGCTGCCATCAAAAGCAGATAGAGCACTGCCAAATTGTTTGACCTCATCCAGATTTGCTCGCGAAACCCCTAAGTATGACATACTTGAAGCGTTTGGTTCCAAATATAGATTAACTAGCTTTTGAGAAGCTTTCTGTCGTCACCCTTCCCCAGAGCAACGAAGGCACATTGCACGTGATGACAGCACCAAGACAGCACTTGCAACTTTATCTTGTGTCACAAGCTTTTCCTTGAAAACGCCATACGAAATGAAGCAGGCATGCCTCAGTCAGGGTCCGGCGGTGAATTCACTGCACGAAGGCGAGGGCTCAGCGCTGGTCAGCAACACGTTCAAAGCCAATAGGCTAAAGACCACTGGGATGGCTATGTACGTATCAGTTTGATCAAGCAATCACGCTCAAGTAGGCTATGTGTATATACAAAATACACTCCCCATCGTGCATCAAGCTGGCTATACTATATATATACAGTACTATATATGTTGCAATCGGCTACTGCCTTGGTGAACTCCACATGGCTTTGTCCGTTCTCTGAATCAATCCCTTCAGGCAAAGGTCAATGCAGCTGCAATTAGCAGCGATTGTAGCGCCAGTGGCACGACCATCAAAAGTGGCACTCTTAGCACAAGAGTGTGCATCACGACGTAGGCATCCCAGCCGACCTGTGCAATGGCCACATGTCAGAACCAAGACGATTCACCTGAAAAACGTGTACAGCCAATCAAAAAACAGAAATCTTGGAGCAACAAATATCTATGAGTCATTATGAGTCTATGTTGATCCTGAAGCTGTCTAAAAACACTCAAGGCTGCAGGCATGCTGCAATGACCAATGCCAGGTAAATGAGTACGATCACCGTCACCGGAAGGTCCGTCAGCAAGACCACCGCGGTGAGCACGATGACGACCAGCACGGTCAGCACAGCGGCCCCCAGCATCAGGCCCCGAAGGAGCTCTTGTCGCATTCGGGTGCCAAATGCAGTGTCCTCAAGCCGGGGCGGTTTGGAGATAGGGCCGGACAGCGCGGCGACGCAACGTTCGATGTGAGTCATGAAACAAAGTCAATGACTCAGCTTACCACAACTGACACCCTCACATCTTCATTGGCTCCAACGTAGCACATTGGGTCACATTGGAAATGCATCGAACACGCTGAAAATCGGAAACGGACAGTCCGCTCCATCCAGTTCCTCCAAACCCTGCTTCTCTTCGCCGAGTGTCTGGTGCAAAGAGCTCATCAAAGCCCGTCACCCGATCCAGCCACTCCGGCCGCTGCTGGCCGTCCGGGAAATACAGACCTCGGTCACCCGGGAAAGCAAGAGAACGCCCGGGGCTGAATCGGGAATCGGGGCGTTCTCACCGACGGCACGGCTCCGAGGTGGGGGGAACTGGGGGGTCGGGATGCAGCTCCATCTTGTACGTGCTTCATCTTGTGCGTCGAGTCAGGTACATTCATGCGTATATATATATATATATGTATGTCGATATATGGACAAGCGAGCCAGCAAAGAAGCAAAAGTATAGAGCGCTGATTTTCTTGGTAGATTGGTCCATCAAAGAGAATTGCGAATTTTAACTTTACAAAGCAAAGCGAGAAGAATGGGATTTGATTGGATATGTAATGTACCAAGCCTTTGGGAAATGGTTGCTCTGACACTTTAGGACTTTTGGACCTTCTCTGATTTCGAACAGCGAGTTCGAGTCCACTTGGCAAAGCAGACCACATCTTCCAGAATCCGGGACCCCAGTTTCGTGCAGAAAGGCTGAAAAGCTGAAGGCAGTAGCTAAGAAAAGCAGAGAAAAGAAACTCTGAAACAGGGCACGCTACTAGTAACAAGTGCCTTACTAGTAGTAACAAGAAGCTAGTAGTAACAAGTGCCACGCTACTAGTAACAAGTGCCTCAGTGTCGGGAAAATTGGCCAAGAAGCTCGTCAACTCTTCCTGCTTAGGAAAGCTCCTGCGCATCCCAAGGACGAGAGCAAGAATAGCACTGCAGGCCAAATGAAGACTGATGGCTAGGTATCAATCGTGCTCATTCATTCGTTTTGCAGCCGTATCTTTCACATCTTAGGTACTGTCAGCACCGCAATGTACTCTCGCTGAGTCCCACCCATCTCTAAACGGGAAAAACAAATCCAAGCGCCCAAACGCACTCCTGTCAGGAACTGGCTTGTCAAGGAAGGCACACAAAGGCTCCCAGCCCTCTCGCACATCGAAGACCAGAAGCTGCGGCTTACCACCCCTAAGCTGCGGCTTACCAGAAGCTGGTGTTGTGCAACCTTTGCTCAACCTTAAATCTGGTTTCAGAACATAGTCTGCAGCTTCTTCCAGCACTGTCCACTTCGAACACTGCAATCCTAGTGCATCCTGCTGTGGTGGACTTTGACACGTGAAAAGGAATGAAAAGGCCCAAGGAGTCTCTCACTGCTTTCTGCTAAGCAACTTGTCCACTTTGCCCTGCAGCAGGGACTTCACCTGATGCTGTAGGATGTCAAAAGCCGGGGTACGTGTTGAGAACAACTGTAAAACTGCCTTACAACTCACAAGACTGCATGCAATCCACTCATTCTTCGGACTATTTCGCTTGCTCACAGGTGGGCGGTGGATGGGGAGGACTTGAGGACTCATCCGCAGGAGTCGGATGCCAATCTTCAAGTCAAGGCGCATAGGAATTGTGTTGCCGGTAGCTGTGTCTCGTCGTGGATCTCAGCATCCAGACCATCCAAATCATCCAGACCCCGGGAATCACAGGTGAACACCAGGTGAACAATCCGAACGTCAAATCCCTGGTGAACAATCTCCAGGTGACCAGTGAAGCCAGTTCACTCATCCACTGTTTTTATACCTTCCACGTGCTTAAGCCTGACCAGAATTGGCCGAAACTTGGGGTGGGCATTGGAATTCTCATCCTCTTTTAACTTGCTGGCAAAATCGTTTTGAATGTCTTTGAAGAACATGCCGTTCCAGGGATTTTCACAATGAAGTTCTGAATGCTTCCCATCAGGTTGCTTTCCTTCTGTGGGCCCCCTCCTTCTTCCTGCTTCTACAGTAGCGGGCCCCGTGCCGAACTTCTGGCCATTCGGTCCGGCTTCGTCATCTCTGGTGTCTTCCCATTTGTGAAAAAAATCTATGAAAATGAATAAGGACAAAACACCTACACCCCACCTCACCCACTTGCTGAAAAAACGACTGGACATTGAAACAAAATCTCCCACTTCGCATGCCATGGTCAATCCTGGCCACTCGTTGAGCATATCGATCTGGAGCCCGGTGGCTCCAAGTGTGGTCGCCCAGGCGAATCGCAAGACTTCACCTCACTGCCACCGCTGCCCGTTTTGCCGAAAGATGAAATAGCAAAAACAGCAAAGCTGATCATCGTTTTCGAAGAGATCCTGTGACTAAATAGGTTTTTCCTTTTTAGATATACAGTATGTGTGTGTGCCCCTTGTAGTCACAGGGATCCTTTCGGATTGTACTTTACAGTTGTTCTTTTGATCAGCAGGGGGCAGGAGCACCATTGCAAGTCTCCTGCCAACGAAAACACTTGCAACTGGTGGTGATACCAGACCTGATCAGTCTGGCGTACCTGCAGTTTTACTTGAGCAATTTCCTCGTGGGCCCTGTTCGTACCTAGAACAAGAATTCCAGCCATCGCATCTGCTTGCATCGGCAGTCACGCATTTGCTTGTACCTTGGAGAGTTTGAGCTTGCAGGAGTTGTAGGTTTCTTGCGGTGCTTTACCTGGACCCTTAGGTTTTTCACTTAGGCTGGCGTGTGGCAACCGCTTTCAGTTCCGTACGCAAAACCATAAGTGTGTCTGGCTTAATGCCAGCCCGGGATGGGCCCGCAGAGTGCCTCCCATGGACCCGTTGAACGGGGGTTAGTCTTTATCTCCCTTGCTTGGAGATGTACGTGCCCGGAGCGGGCGGAGCAGGCTTTATGCCAAAGTTATTTGCCAAGACTTGCTGAAGTATTAAATTCCAAGCTGGCTCATGCCTTTACATGACCGCAGCGGTCAAAGGTGGCAGCCTTCCGGCAGGCCGTACGTGGTCGCAGCGACCAGGGCTTGCTCAAGGTTCATTGGAACCTGTCGGGGCCTTAGTGTGATGAGTTCTTCTCCTCCCCTTCCCGTCATGAGACTCCCGCTCACGGCTTATCAAACTTTCCGGGAACGGCTTACATAGTTCTCACCTAACCCACCCTGGCCCGGAGCCTAGAACAAAATATGCCTCCCTTTGGGGAGGCGTGTGTGTGTGTGCCCCTTGTAGTCACTGTACTTTACAGTTGTTCTTTTGATCAGCAGGGGGCACGAGCACCATTGCAAGTCTCCTGCCAACGAAGACACTTGCAACTGGTGGTGATACCAGACCTGATCAGTCTGGCGTACCTGCAGTTTTACTTGAGCAATTTCCTCGTGGGCCCTGTTTGTAACTAGAACAAGAATTCCAGCCATCGCATCTGTTTGCATCGGCAGTCACGCATTTGCTTGTACCTTGGAGAGTGAGCTTGGAGAGTTTGAGCTTGCAGGAGTTGTAGGCTTCTTGTGGTGTTTTACCTGGACCCTTAGGTTTTTCACTTAGGCTGGCGCGTGGCAACCGCTTTCAGTTCCGTACGCAAAATCATAAGTGTGTGTGTGTTTCAGCATGATTTGCCCAATTCCTCCGAGACTTTACCCCGTGCTGCTACTGTCTGGTCTAACTGCTGTTTGTGCAGTCTACTAGCTTCGTAAATTCGGGCGCCAAGTCGCAGAACTTGTGGTACGAAGGCACCAGCCACTTTTCCAGCTGACGTCGAATGGTACCATATCGCAACGGTGCACCCGGCACGTCGTGGTCCATGGCCAATTTGGCCTATCGGACATGAAAGACCCAAGGATTCAGAAACGGGTAAAAGTGAAACAAAACTTGAAAAACAAATAAGAACTGTCCAAATCTCGGGTATTGCAAAGGATTCACTGGGACTCACAAGGATTCATGAACCCCTCAACTTCAGGCACAACCATGACACATACTTTGACACATACTTCAGGCCTTGCTGACCGACCGCCACCATGCATCCTCGTCACGAACTGTCAGGATCACTTTGGCATCCGGATACAGATTCAGAATATCTTCCCAAAAGCAAAAGGTTGGCATTCCCATGATGACAGAAGACTTGCCAAACATGGTCTGGAAGGCAGCGGTCGCCCCCCGATTCTGTAATACATCATCCCAGAGCTCGTAGGTGTGCGAGATCTGTTCTTGGTCATAGATGTTCCGGTATCCCAGGATCGAAAATGCACGATGAAGGGATTGCAGCCCAGTTCGCATCAGACCCACACAAATCACTTGCACCTCTTCTGCCTCTGCCTCTACTGACAGTTCCCGCTCCCAATCTGAACCTGATACGAGAGGTGTCTTGTCGATCGACATGTCCAGAGTCAATTTGCCGGCAACTTTGGCACGGTACTTAAAAGTCAGGTGATCAGAGTCTCAGAGTCTCTAACAAATACTGAATGCACAGCGTGCTTGAAGAGTGAATGATGTTTCAATGATTTGCAAGGTGAAATCCTTATGTGAGTGTGTGTGTGTGGTTGTGAGTAGGAGTAGTTAGTAGGAGTACGTGACCACAAATTGAGCCACTTACGGCTGGCAGACATCAATTTGCAAATGTCTCAAATTGATGTCTTGGCAAGTTCATCCTCTCACCACTCAAATGAGTCTCAGATCGCTATGTGGACATCTCGAAGGTTTACCCTATATTGTGTTCAGATTTCATCACTGGCTTTTCATTCTAGCTTCATCTACGAATTTTGCAGCAACAACAACAACAACAACAACCAAACAAACAAACAAATGGATACAGGCTCCAAACACTCTTGAGAACTCCATTTTTCGATGCATTGGCTCCCACGAAGTATGTCCCGGCCTAAGCTTTGCTGAAAAGCCACGACTGCAACCTGCTTGGCTGAAAGGCCAAACAGTCTTCAATCGAGTGTCTTTGGCTGGGAAAGGCGACATAAGCACATCAAACAGCCAAAGATTGGGTAGCATCGATCCGCTTTGGAGAACAAATCGGCTGCAACTCAAAAGCGAGAAATTCATAGCAGCAAGTCCATTCCCTGGACATGCGCCACTCGTGGCTTGATTGTAGGGAAATTGGACCGCCTGTTTGTGTGTGTATAACCCTTGGATTCAGAGCAAACCTGTGGTCATATTTGAGTCTTGTTAATTTGCCGGGGGGCACAGGCCCATTGTGGATACCTGTGCCAACGAAGCTATTCCATGATGGGGGAAGTGGCGATTGATCTCTCGTTGAGTTGCAGACATGCCCCCCAATACCGCGAACCTATAACACAAACCAAAGCACAAACAGTTCAAAGACGAAGTGACATTTGACAATGTAGACTCCTTGGGAACGTTTGCGATCTATTATCTTGGCACCCCACTGTCTGCAGCTCCAAGTTGGCATCCTCAATCCTCACATCTTCGAGATGATGTCTGTTTGAAGACATGTAGAACCCTAAAATCGTAAGCTGACCTGGAAGTAGGCTTGAAGTGCCTAAAACTGAGCTCAAGAACTTGGTCTAGCCATACATGCATTCATCATTCAAGGTGATCCCAAAAGCCATCTAAGAAATGGCTAGAGTACGCCAATGCGACCAATTTGCTATCCCTCTTTGGTCACTTCTTTCATGTTCATCACACCATGCTCTTTCGCAGAGGTTCCAACGACAGGGACGCCCCGTCCTGAGATGGTTTGGGCCTTTTGATCTCATCCTCCTCACTGCAGCTCCAGAGCACACAGCCGCCAAGAAGTCCAGTGGGAAACCTCCGTTCGTGGGGGATCCAAAAGCAGATCTTGTCAAGCATGGACTGGTCACTAAAGCAGATAAACCCATTCTGGATTCAGCTCAAGATGAAGACTTAAAGCGAGAGTTCAAATCAGCAAGACAACTGAGCTGGATGCACTGAATGTTTTGCCCGTGGCACTGACACTAAGCAGCCAACATCTTGGAGTGGCAGACGGATTCAAAGCTGTCGAAGTCTGCCTGGATCCGAGTGTTCCTTCTCAACACGGTGAATAGATGGGAGAAGGTATGCTGACCTTTGAAAACAGTGTACTAATAGCTTCTTGTTACTACTAGTAAGGCACTTGTTACTAGTAGCGTGGCACTTGTTCCTAGTAGCTTCTTGTTACTACTAGTAAGGCTTCAGAAACAGTGCATCTGCTTCTTCATATCAACTGTCCACCTCTTCTTCGGCTGCTGCTTCAAAGTCGATGACCTGGCAACCGCTATACCGAGCATCTAAGCTTGAGGCAATTTACCGCTTACAAAAGAAAGCGCCTCTTCGATGACCCACATGGGCTTGGCAACCTTGAACCAACAACATATGTCTGGTGCAACCTTCGTGAAAGCGAGGTCTAGGATTCCAGCTGTAGGTTTCTCCTCTCCGGTGGAACTCGCGGGTGACCGCAGCATCCTGGAAGATATCCAAAGCACAGATTTGCGGTACGAATTGCCTCAAATTTGATCCAAACTATGTTTCAAGAGAATCTCATTACACTAAAGGAAGAACTCAGGGCTCAAATGCCATTTTTGGATCATTTCGGATTGGATGCAGCACTTAGGAGCAAAAGCAACAGCAACAGTGGCGCAAATTCGATTTCTTCCGTGTCAGGTTCACTCACAAATCCCACAGGAAAACTAAGCGGTGTCGAAAGCCTATCCGAGTTAAACAGGGTGGTATCATGATGTCCTTATTTTGTTGCCTCACACAGGCCTTGCACTCCTCAGGTGTTTACGTACGTGGAGGGAAACCCGTCCTCGCTTTTGCAGATCGCTTATATAAGCAAAATCTTACACAGTCCAGGATTTTTTGATTCTATAGTAGGCAGTCATGGATAGTGACCACTCCTTACTAAATATGTAAGGAAAGTTGTTGTTGAAACTGCTCATTTTTGTTCTCCGAGCCTGCCAAACAGGGCTGCTGGAGCAGCAGCTTGAGGCAAAGGTGGAACTGGATTCCAGACCTCGAACGGAAAGACCAGCAGCGGAAGCGCAAGGAGTTGGCGTCTCCCGAATGACCAACAAACAGCATACGAGTTCGCCTAGTGATTGGTTTTTGTTGAACTAAAACCTACTGAGACACCGTGGCTTTTAAAACCGTTCTTGAATCCTCTGGCTGCAGAGATACCAAAACCATCACGGCTTGCCTGCCATCCATCTTGTAACCTCGAAAGATTTGGAGCTTGTAACACCTGGCAGGTTCACGATCAAAAGCCAATGGGGAAGAACCCTGGCAGGGGTCAAAGCCGTTTGATACCGTTCTGGTAACATCAAGGGAAAAAGAAAATGTCCAAGTGAAAACCTGAAACCCAAACTGCTACCAAGCCTCGTGGCGTCTTTGTCAGCGACCAATTTTGTAGCTGTTCCAACCACACGTGTCACATTGTGATCAAAGTGTCGTCCTCCGCATAGACTGTAGGGCTGGAAATTATCCGAGGTGCGGATACAAAGTTGCTGCTGGTATTGATCCTTGAATGGAGTTCTGTGCCAAAAGCAGCTGTGGTTCACTGGACTGGATGGCATCTGGTCCCAATCTATAAGCTATTCCTGTGGGGCGCAGATACAAATCCGCGAGTGAGACAGACAAGGGTCACAGGATTGCCGTAGAACTGGCACAGGTTTTTGGCTGAACAACCTCAACAGGATTGCCAAAAAAGTGTTTTCTCCTCTCTAAGTCTATGGCTGACTTTTATGTTCATCCTCCGTCCTCCAGTGCATTATCAACAATATTTCAAGGGGAACCTTCCGATAAAAGCTTGGCAGCCAAGTGCTCTCTCGATTGAAATATTGTATGTTACTACTAGTAACAAGTGCCACGCTAGTCTAGTAGTAACAGGTGCCTTACTAGTAGTAACAAGAAGCTATGACAATCCATATTTCACCCACCGTCCACTCCGTGCCGCCCTCAGCCCCGCCCTCAGCCCCGCCCTCAGCCCCACCTGTCCCGCCAGCACCGATCCAGAGCTGGTTGGGGGTGCCTCAACCCGCTGGACCGACCAGGTGTGGCCACCGAGGGCATGGCTGTCTCAATCACCAAAGCAGCAAATGATTCGCGGGATCGTTTCACTCCAGTTTTTTCCTGTGATTTGTGGGATCCAAGGCCTCAGAAGCCCTTCCCAGTTGGAAGCTTTATGAGCGCTTCCCAGCACACCGGTCGGACACACGTCCACTCCCTCACGTCCGCTGCGTCTCTGCACGGCGCTAAGGGGTGGTCCTTCACAGCTGGCCTAGCATCCAAAGAACTGGAGAAAGCCGAGTGGGACACTCGGCAACGCTGTGCAGGGCGCACCCACTGTCATTGGAAACGAGGCTGGCAACGCTGTAACTTCCACCTCGGACACACTAAACGGTCGGGTTTACTGATTAGGTGACAGTGAAGGAGAGTGATGTGTCCATCTTGCAAAGTCAAAAGAGAAGCTGTTAGCTATGACATGCTGTTAGCTATAACATGCTATGGTAACCATAACAACTTTGCCAAGTTCTCGCACCTAAGGGACCACTCTGAAGACTGGTTCGACCTAGGCAGCTTGGAAGTGAGATGAGCTTTCAAGCGAGTTCGACCAGTGCCATCCTCACCCCAAGCTTCCGGGTTTTTGTAAGCCCACCACTGGATGCATCGGGTGCTCGGAGCAATCTGAAAAAGCCAAGTGGGCGAAAACAAGAGAAAACATAAATTAAATGGCATATTATATATATAATGCATAAAACAAAATGAAAAATTTGAAACAATGCAAAATTAATGGCACTGAGATGCGGGCCCTACGTGATTTGGCAGCCTGGCGCGCGGATTGCAAACGTTCTTCATCACGAAAAGTGTTGCTGCGTTGTCCTATCATCGCATAAAGGTGCACTTCCATAAAGAATGCAAGTTTAAATGCAGTGACAAGCATCCCTGCTTGAAATGGATTGTAAGCCAGGTCGTAGCTGTGGTTGTCCGGTCACACTTAGTTTCGACTGCAGTTCGGTAGAAAGCTAGTACAAACCATCCAACTGGCGGCCTGGTAGGCGTATAACCTCGATGCTGGCCAATCAGATTCTGAACCAAGAGCTGTGGGGCACTATTATTGATACCACAATTGCTATGCTAATCTTATGATTTTCTCATGATCTGGCTCTCGCATCCTAAGTTCATAAGGTGACCTTGGGCTGAGGATCCTTGAAGACCGGGAACTTCGCGCCAAAAAAAGATGATGAAACTTGGGGTGAAGCCTTTGGGGGCAGTCCAAAGTCGCTGGTCTTTTGACCAAAACCTAGGAACATGGAGGATTCCTCGTCTACTTTCCTGCAGAGAAACCGCTTAAATCCTTCGCCCAAAACGGCTGCTACGAAAGACAACCAGCTGGTTTTTGTGCGCTCATGTAAGCATTCTGGGCATGTTCCACAACTGAATTGTAGATTGACTGCATAGGTTCAAAACAGAGAAAGATTGGTTAGCGTTTCCAAGCCTCATCTTCATCAGGTCCCACGGCTCTCTGCTTCGAAGGCAACACATGGCAAAATACAGTATCAAGCTGATTTGTCCAACTTGTGGCTTGAAATTTGGCTGAACTTGGGACCTCTCAAAACACAACTTGCACCAAGCCACAGTTGGGTGAGGAATGGCCCGGAGCACGAGCAAATGGTGGCGACGTCTGGCCTCGGCAAAGGGTGTTTCTCAGAATTTCCATAGAGGATCCCCATGACCCATGAATGAGTTCTTGGATGGACCTGAAGTTATGAGGCATGAGTTTGCGGATCTTTTGGAGGTCTCACTGGAGATGCTTGTATCAAATGTGCAACCCACCTCCGTGACAAGTTGAATCAGAAGAAGTATTACGCATGTCAAGAGCAGACGCGTGCAAAGAAAAGGAACGTCAGAGAAAGCAGCACTTCACATCCATGAAGTCAACCAAATACACCAAAATGATTCCAAGTGTTGGTTTCAAGCGCCAGATGCCAAAAGCAATGATAATAGAATGGAATCAGAAAACCCAGCACTCACAGCAATGGAGACACAGAAAGTCTAAGTGAAGTGGGACGAAGGAGAGGCACACCTCAAGGAGAGGCACTTCGCACCACATAGGCCGGAGCCGTAGACCCGGTAGACCCTTTTTTTGACTGTCTTTTTTTTCCCGGGTTCGGCATGAATCGATGATCTAGAAACTCGGGCCAAGACTCGAGGTCCACAAGTTCGCTGCGAACGGAACAAAGGGCATCGCGACACGAACGGCGCGTTGCTCCAAATGGCGCTTCGCTTGGCACCTTTCCGAACGCAGCAAATCCCGAGGCTAGCACCGGGGAGCGAGCTGCCACTGGAGGTCCATGGCGCCATTTTCATGGTTGGATCACCAGAGCTGCTGCTGAGATTGCAGTATCTCAGCGGATTTTGAGGGAGATATCAAAGATGCCGAAATGGCTAAATGCTTCTGGGGGACACTTAATATTCACCACCAGATTACCTTTTCAATGTGTTTTTGAAGGGAAACTTGGCATGACCTCCTTGAAAATCTTGAGACACATGCGCTGATCCAAAGTCATCTGTTTCAGCAATGAACCAGCTAGATCTACATGAACCGTTCCGTTTTGGAACACGGTTCTTGATGCGCCCGAAGCCAATCACCCATATCCACATGAGCTGCATGCACCATTTTCCATGCGTCAGCCATGCTTTCCAAGATTGTGCAATGCTTCTGCGAATATCTCTTCAACTGGACTTCTGGCACCTTTTTGCAACTCAGCGGGGCTCCTTGGCTTTGGTTATATCATCTTCCTCTTCCTCTCCCTCGCTAGGTTTGTCTTTCTCCCCTTCCACCTCATCCGGATCTACCTCCTCGCGAGCTTTGTCATCCAGTTCCGGAAGGGCGGAAGTCTGCTCGGCCTTGCCCTGTGGCACTGAGTATTGAACCTCACGGATTTGGTCGAAGGGTCCAACGCACTTCGGCTGGTGGTACGGAAGTGACGGAACATGCAGCTGGCCCTGTGGGGCCATAAGGGTTGAGCCTTGCCTATGTTTGCACTCTCAAAGACTATTGTCCATCTGTCTCAAGGGAATGAGCCATCGGGCCATCTGCACCTTGAGTACTGACTGGGCTCCAGACTTCCTTGCCCTCAGTACGCCAGTTCGAACACCTCAAGCAAAAGGGCATTGAGCCAAGGTTGTATACGTCGTTTGGAGCTGCTTGGGCCAAGTCCTACGCTGGATATATATATATATATATTTAATCCATGAATGGAGCACAAGTCAACAACCAGAACTTCACCAAGTCTTTGTCTCACATGCTTTTCTCTCTCTCTCTCTATTGCAAACAAGCCTGTTAAAAATAGAAATAAATGCAAAAACGAAAACAAACAAAACAACCATAGCAACACATAAAGGGTGTATATTACGACCAAAAAACAACGGTCTTTCAGCCGAACGGCTCACAGCAAACGTAAATAATCGCCATCGCATCACTCACGATGGTCTCTGACAAGCGGTAATAAACAGCCTCGGGAGATCCGGATGGAAGAAGTGGCCTAAAGCATTTCTTCTCATTCATCTCACTTCTCAATCTCACATGCTTCATGCTGGGTAAGTGTGAAGCTTGGTTGTGTCCACACACGTGGCAGTCATAGTCATAAACCTCACAAATCGGTTCAACGAATCTGGCTGAACTTGCGAAATAAGGCACTGACCCTGGGAAGCGTCGGATCATGAATGACATCAGGCATGACAATGATCGACTCCTGCATCAGCACTGATCGCTTCTCAAGGTCTTTGGGCACTCCCAATGTTGGAAAGCCAAACAGGCATCTCTCACATGTCACCGTCCTTCGCAACAAACAGCACATCGTGGCGAAAAACACATAGATCATCAATCCGCTTTGGGTTGCCATCATTGTCTGTGTCCTGCAAAGCTAGCAATGCAACGAAGCTGTCATAGGTCAGCATGCAATACATAGTCCAAACCAAGCAATTCCCACCTCCATTGGCACTACCTGGCAAAGCAATGAAACCTGTCCACACGTTTCAGTCACCAACAAACTCCAAACACATTCCCTTCCACTAGCAACTGTCCACAATATGTTCATTAAGCATGGCCTCCACGTTGGAGCAGACTTTGCAAGTGAAAACCAATTCCTGCCCATGGAGTTCCAAGCGGCTGTGATTCAGAAATACTTTTCAAAGAGACCGGTCCATCTTTTCATTCTTGCCCATCATCCAATTGGAATTGTTGCACTCAGGGCCTCATTGACTCATCGCATCATTTTTGGCCCAAACAACATGTTGTTCGCGCATGGACGAACATGTAACGGCGTACCGTGGGCCCGTGCTGAATTCCCTAGGCTCCGTGCAAAACCGCAAAGTTGATTTGTAGGATGCCATGGCCACTGGATGGTGCTCTTTTGGACCCTCAGTAAAGGGAAGGCACGAACGACTGGTTGATGGTTGGATAACATCACTGTCTGGATGGATCAGCAACAGAAGAGGTCTTTCATTTCTTTTGAGGTTTACTTGCAAAACGTCACACATGTTTGGTGCACAGTTGTTTACAGTAAATTGAACGTGCAAAAACAATCGGAACTAAATCCTCTCAAGTCAAGTGGCTGCACGCGAAGAAGAAATATCAAAAACTTGCCCATCGCACACAAACCCCGGTCCTGTAAAGGCATTTAAAAAGAGAACACACAAACAACTCCAGAGTAGCTGTCGAACTAACGGTTCTTCCTCAACGAACTTTTGCGTTAGAGGTCCTTGCGTGTCACCCGGATTAGAGAGACACCCACGAGCCGTAGCTGACCAGAGCCATGTTTCGTTATCCCCCTTCGGCGGGCAATGCTTTGCTTACAAGGCAGTCAATGACCAACTGAACTGACCTTGCTACTTCGATTGTTTCAAGTTCGGTTGGGCACGCCACTGAGTTCGGTGGCGGCTGCTGAGCATTCTGGCTCTGTTTGCGATTCTTGCTGCGGTGGTGTCGACTTCCTGCTTCACACTGGTGCCTTGCAAGCCTGCTCGTTTCCAGCGGTTCCAGTGTCAAGTTGTGACGAGAAACTTGTAACGTGGTATCATGTTCTTCTTTCGCGCGCTTGTTCATCCTCGGCATTGTCAACGAATCTCCGAATTGCTTAACTGCTCCGGCTCACTCACTGCGACTCGCCGGTGGTTGAAGGATTGCATTGGTTGCAGCGAAAAAGGCCGCTTCACCCTCGCTTGCTAGTTCGAAAGGTTCGCTGCCCTGGCGGAAAAAGTTCACAGTCGCCGTTGAACGCAATGGAAACATTGGACGTATCGGGGTGTCGACGATGGACTTGCAAGGTTTGGCGCTTCCGTGGGTGGCACATCTCGCACTTGGGTCGACCGTGCGTTTGCTCCGATTTTGGGGGACAGAATCTGACCCCAAAACGGAGATCATGAACCCACGAAGCAGCAACCCCATTTTGGGGGTCAGATTCCCTCCCCCAAAATGGGGGCCGCTCGTTGACGCATCTTTGCAACCCTTCCATCAAAAAATGTTGAAAACGCACGAAGCCATTCCAGCTGCGAGCTGAGATTGCTCCCCACAAAAACACCCAACCTTGCAAGTCAGCGTTGACACCCCGACACTGCTCAATGTTTTCATTGCGCCCAACGGCGACCGGAGAGGCCCACTGTGGCGACCCCGGCTCCACAGCGCTTTTCCCCCTTGTTTTTGGCGCTGCCAAATTCACCGCTGCAATTGCCAAAAACCAGAACCCCAAACGACCTCACAAGGCCCGAACCCAACAACGCCGCAAGCGTCAAGCGACCTTTTGCGCGACACACAAACCAACGCAAGGTGCTTTACAGTGTGTACATCTGTACATGTCTGACTTCTTTAAACTCCATCTCCATCCTCTTGAAGGTGAGCCGAAAACAAACGTGGTTCATCCGAAAACGACGTTCAAACGATTCCCGCAAGGCGAACGAACCTATGGTGGTTTCCATTGGACCCAAAAGTCACCCTCGTGACGTCCAACCCATCTAATTCATATCGAGATCGCTGAGATCTCTTGCGCGCCACCACTCTAGCACCCAACAGGAGGTTATGAACCCAAAAAGCAAAATAAGAAACACATTTTGTGTTTCCCCCCGTCAGACACCACACTTTTCAGCATGGTGACCCCGCGAAGGGGATCCTCAGACACACCTCGTGGGTGTACCTCCAGTGTGGCTGATGAAAGGGGGAAGGAAGGGGGAAAGGGAGGAAAGGGGGAAGACAAAAGCAACCAAACACATAACCTCCCAGGTATGCAATGTGAGTGCGATACATATACAATATCCACAGGATGGATGTCGTGACCATCCATCAAGCATTCACACAATCCACCAACACGTAGATGCTCCGAAGAGCATCGAGAGTGTCTCCAACATACACAGCTGCTCCAACGAGCATCCAAAAGTTCTTCAAACACTGTCGTCCGGAGACGATACCATGCATATGGTCCTTTATATTTCCACTCAAGGTGAAGTCCGGCTCAAACGGGCTGTCTTGCTGCAGAAAACGAAAGGCCGCCAGGGTCAACGGAACTGGTGACAGGAGGTGCTGTTGCAGCCAGGCAACAGCCCCGGCCCTGGTGGCGCTGTTGATGACAATGAGCGGCCATCTTTTAGGGAGCGCATCAGGACCTAGAAGCAATTGCCAGCTTTCCGCAAGCCACTGTCGCAATGGTGCCATGGGGAGCAGGCTTGGGAAGACACTTTGTTGGTGACACAATCGTCGGGTTAGTTCATTATGTGCCCCCGACACGTCAACATCCCAGCGGGTAGCGCCAAACAAGGCTAATCGGACAGTAGTGGGACCCGCTGGCCTCCGTGGCCAACTGCACAATATCGTCGGCGTTCTTGGAGAGCAGGCTTGTACCCAATTGCGAGTGAACTGCTATAATAATGCCGAGCAGTGGCAAGGTAGTCTTCGAGTTGTGGAGCATGAGTGGGATGTTGACTGAAGACGGAAGGGAGAAGGGTCGTTCCAGACTACCGTCGTGCTTGGCCAGTTTGAAATCTCCAAAAACCGAAAAACAATTTCATGGCAGTGCCCTCTTGTGTTTCAAAAAGCCTGAAGCACTACTTTGCGTCGTCGAGGGCGTGTTTTGCTGCTGGCGCAGGTGGAACCATGGGCCAGAGGTGGCAGAACGCTAGACGAAAGAGTGGGACTCTGAAAATGGGCGTGAAAACTGTCAACCAATTCTGTTCCCCCGGGTGTGTCTGCAAAAAGGATGTTTTCTTTGGTTCAATGCTCGCTGGAGTTGGCTCGGCCTCTATTTTTTTCTTTTGTCGATGGCTTCTGGTTACAGCTTAGCTGTTTGCCAGCAATTGCCAGCAAGCCACAGCAATGAAAATATAATTGCGCCAAAATAGATAGCCAAAAAATAATCGTTACATCGTTAATTCGTTAAGTTTGATCTTTCAAACTCTTTTTTTGTAATAAAAAGACCAACTTAATTAGTTAATGATTTAATGATTTCAACCCGGGAGTACGAAATGCTCTAAGTGCAGAAGTCTCGTGTCTAGAAATTGCAATCTCATTCTGGCGCACTATCTCAGTCAATGTCAGGAATACGCAGCTTAGCTGGCAACCAAAACAAAGACCTGAAGGTTTAGAAACCTGGAAATCAGCATTGTCTGAGATCCACAGGTGTTTGCCTCAAACGTTGGAGGTCAGTTTTGCGTGAGACAAAAAAGCCTAAAGGTGAACCTGTTTTTGATTTACTTTTTGAATTTACTTTTTTTGGCTTCAAAAGAGGAGCCGTACACGTCGGCTGGAAGCCAAAAGCAGCTTCTCATTTTCTGGCATTTTTTTGACCGTCTATGTCAACAGGCTCGCGCAGATAACCGGAAAGTGTGCGTCATCAACCTTGATGACACCGCCGCAAATCGATGCGCAACGAAATCACGAGGCTATGTGACCCAAGCCAAGTGAGAACGTACTGGGAGACCTCCAGCCAGGTTTCTAAACCTTTCAGGTCTTTGTTTTGGTTGCCAGCTAAGCTGCATATTCCTGACATTGACTGAGATAGTGCGCCAGAATGAGATTGCAACGAGACTTCTGCACTTAGAGCATTTCGTACTTCCGGGTTGAAATCATTAAATCAACAATTTATTAAGTTGGTCTTTTTCCCCACATCTCTGTGTGGGGTTCTAGTTTTTTGGCTGCCATCCCGCCCGACTCTGCCCGCTCGCCCGCCCGTCCTTCCCTCCTCCGTCCTTCTTCTCTCCTCCGTCCTTCTCTTACACACACATCTGACCTCTTTCCCTCACACACAATCATCTCGTCATCTCACACACACACTCATCTTGTCATCTCACGTCTCACACCCTCCTCCGTCCTTCTCTCCTCCGTCCTTGAGCTAAAGATCCAGGGGAGGTAGGTAGTCTACCGTGTAAGGTTGCTACCCGGAGTTTTTCGTGGTAGCGGAGCGTGGAGCTCCCAGGAAGAATGTCCAGTCCTACCAAGCGACGGACAGCATCACCAACGAGGAGGCGACCAGTGAGTATGGAAGAGTACACAGGTCGAGAGAGATCTCCACCGCCAGATCCAGCAGAGAGTGCTGCTGCAGAGATACCGGTACCGAACAGCCCTACCCCAACGGGGAGAACGTTTCAGGATAATTTCAACTCACCTCAGATGCCTGCGAGTCCTACCGGGGGACAGGGATTGACACAGGAAGCGTTGATCGAAGTATTGAGAAACCAGCATCAGAATATAGTTCAACAGCAGAACTTGATCGCTGGACAAGGAGCGCAAATTTCAGAACTGACCAAGCTAGTATCAGGTTTGGTTCAGATGCAGACTGATGTCTTGAAAGACCAAGCTCAACGCGAAGCGGATGAGCGTGAGAGAAAGGCAGAAGAGGAGAGAAAAGCTGCAGAGGAAGCTGCTACGTCCAGTACACCGAGAGCAGGATCACTGTTCACCTCAGCACCCAAGAAATCTGACTCAAAATATTCTGGAAGCAGTGGAGGAAAGATGGAGAGTTACATACCGAACTGTCCACAACTTGAGATCAAAGATTCAGGAAGAAGACATGAGATCAACACCTGGTTATCCTTCCGAGAACGATTTGGATCGTGGTTGTGTCTTTTGGATGAGTGCTACGCAGCGGAATTGCAAGAGGCAGTGAAACAAACAACTACCATTGAGCAAGGGAAACTTGCCCCGGAAGCCGCAGTGAGGAGTAGTAAACTGTATCACTGGATGAAACAAGCAATGTCAGGATACGAGAGGGGATTGGACCTCGCAGTCCTGCAGGAACGAGAGCAGGGAGGACTCACTTGCGGATATGAGTTGTTCAGGAGAATCAACAACTTGCTTGGAGTTACGACTCGAGCGGAAGCACTGTCACTGCGGGAAGCAGTGATGAGACTTGATGTGAATGGATTGAAGCAACTTGGATGTCCATCAGCAGGGAGTA